TCCTCCTCCCCTCCTCCGCCTCCTCCGTCTCATGTTCCTCCTCCTCCCCCTCCTCCTCACGTTACAACCACAACCACCACCCAATCAACACCATCACCACCACCTCAAACACTCGCCATCATCAGCATCGACATCAATCTAGTCGGCATCGCAGTCATCATCAACAGCATCAGCGATAGCATCAGCAACCTAATCATCAACATAATGGTCATCCTCATCAGCATTACCATTGTCAGCAGCATCACCTCCGTATGTATCATAAGTGTCTGCCAGTGCCTGCTAATTACCAACATCTAGCACCAAAGACGACATCGTCACTATCTGCACCGTCAACATCCTACGTATACAGTCTCAGCTTCGTCACCGGACTCGTCATCGTCGTATTAGTATTGAATATGCTCGTCGTCCTCGTCGCCATCGGCATCGTCATCGTCACAAGCATTAGAATCATGAGCAGCAGCATCGTCATCATCATCGTCACCAGCAACAGAGTCCTCGTCGATTGGCGTCCTCGCCGCCCTCGTTGTCCTCGTCCTCGTCAACCCCCCGCTCCGCCTCCTTCTCCCCCACCTGTTCCTCCTCCTCCTCCTCCTCCTCCTCCTCCTCCTCATCATCATCATCATCAGCAGCATCATCCTCATCATCATCATCATCATCATCATCATCAGCATCATCAGCATCATCATCAGCATCATCATCATCATCAGCAGCAGCAGCATAAGCAGCATCAGCATAATCATCATCATCATCATCATCATCATCATCATCATCATCAGCATCATCATCATCATCATCAGCATTAGCATCATCATCATCATCAGCATCAGCATCAGCATCATCAGCACCATCAGCATCATCATCACTACATTCGTCCTCCTCCTGGAAGCGGTCCTCCATCTTCTTCTTGAGCTCCGCGGCGTCGTCGGAACTCATCTTATCCTTCAGCTCGGAAAGCTGCTTCTCGACCTGCTGCCCGGCGGCACGGCGGGATGGGCAGCCGCGACCAGGTCCGCCAGGCGGGAAGACAGGAGGAGGAGCAGCAGGAGATGGAGGAGGAGGAGGAGGAGGAGGAGGAGCGCGAATGCAGGAATGCAGTAAGAAGACTGCGTCTGCTCACAGACACAGCTCTACCAGAGACCCATCTGGGAGGAAACCAGGAACGCAGCTGGAGGTTTCTGCTCAACGGGCCTGGAACCCAAACTACCCTGGACCCCAGGCGCCGAGAGCGGCCGCCGAGATCCTTGTGAGTCGGCCAGCTTCCGGCTGGGACAGTACCCGGGAGGCAACTCCAAAGGGCCAGGGCAGGGGGCCAGAAAGGCCCTGCCCACCCTCACGGACGACACCAGACGACCGTACCCGTGGCGGAAACGTCGTGGCACTCAGGCGTGAAGGTCCTCGACGACGGCCTCACGACAGGCCCCAGCGGGCCAGAGGACCCGCCCACAGGGGACCCCGCGCCCGCCCTCGCGGGCACGACCCGGGCCCCCACAGGGAGGCCCAGCAGGGGCCGTCCCAGACGCCACCTCCACAGAACAAGGGGCCCCAGCCTCGCCCCGAAGGGCAGGCACAGGCCCCTTCCCAAAGGGCCCCAGCCGAGCACCCAGCCGCAGCCGATCCAAGCCCAGCGGCAGCAGAAGCACGCTGAATGAGGTACCCACAGAGGCCCCCCAGGCCCCTCACCCCAGGACCCAAGGGGGTCCCGACGGGGGGATCGGCGTCAGCCTCAAGAATCGGAGCCTGTATCTCTGAATCACAGACGGTCGTCACAACTTGTCCGTCCCACCAACGAGCTGCCGTCTCGACTCGGCCGTGTACGCAGATCTTCGGCACCTGCAACACATCAATACCCCAGGCATCTCAACAAGACAATGCTCGTGCAGCGTGGGACTGGTTTTTGTTCAAATGCTCGGGCTTCCTAGTAGACGAAGGGGCGCTCGTGACCTCAACTCAAACCTGCAACTACGCTGGACAGCCATAGCCTGGTACTTCGCATACTGTCGGGTCCCAGTGACGAGGAGGAGGAGGTGGAGGAGGAAGAGGACAGGAAGGAGTACGGCATGTCCGCTTCACACCAGATGGAGGCGTTGGTCTGCGACTGGGTGACCGTTTCGTCGGGCAGAAGACGAAGACGGGCGCCAACCAAGGGGCCGTCCTCAAGTGGGAGGTGTCTCGGATCATCTAGCAAATCGTGGTGCAAAATCGTGAGCCGGAAAATCACATGTTCTCTTTCACGCAGGCTGCCTTCCGTAAGGTGTGGGGTCAGACATTCAAGCAGACGGATATTGAGAAGATGGGACTGCCGATCATGCGCCACGCGGCGGCCGCGAGATTTGAAGAGCTGGGCGGTGACCTCGAAGCGGTGCGTCGCCGCGGGAGATGGGCCACCACCTCAGCCCTTCAAGGCTATTACAAATGCCATGTGCTGGTGGAGAAGTTGTCGGAGCTGCATGGTCGGCAGATCGGCCAAGGCACAAGTTTTTGGCGACCACCGGTGCAAGCTGTGCATGATGCTGCCACGGCGGGCCACGGAGCAGGGACACCGCTAGGCAAGCGCCTGCTGTTCGCTCTCAAGGGTGGCCGCAGACGCGAGCAGCCTGTTCCCATGTTCGGGGCTGCATCATACCATTCCTCCCTCCACTCCCCACCTTAAGACTGAATAGTCATGCAAGGGCCTTGTCTGGAAGGGGAGGGGCCCTCACGGGGAGGCCTCAGGGCTACGGCGCCTCGCACACCCGCCCGCTCTGTACGTTTTGCCCGTGCTCGGCTTGTCCTCTTTGAACTGAAAGGCCTTTGGCTAGTGGACCTGATCAGGTTCGGCCGGGTGGGGTCGAACATGTTCTGGTGTTCCCTGGGCCTAACAGTTCGGGGGCCTCGGCTGCTGCAGCTCCGGAAGCGAGCTTCGGGTGCGGCATGGCAGCGCTCAGTTCCTCGAAGTTCACTGGGGCTGAACTCCCCCTCAGCGCCACCTCTGTGGAAAGGATGTGCGAACGTCGTCACACGTTGTGCATAGATTGGGCGCTACGTGCCCGGTCCGCGCTGCTGTGTTCCCAGGCCTTGCTGGCATCCCGCCTGCCCCCAGTCAAGGGTGTTCTGCCCACCCCTACCCCAGACTGGCTCTGAGCAGATGGTATGTTTCCTGCTTCTACCCCAGACTTTCTGCTTCTACCCCAGACTGGCTCTGAGCAGATGTTCTGCCCCTACCCCAGACTGGCTCTGAGCAGATGGTGTGTGTAAAGTCTCGCTCCACGTGCCGACCAGCGGCGAACAATGTCTGGCTCGACGGGAAGGTGCGGGCGGCGAAACGTGAGGTCCCCGAACAACGGGTGCGGCCCGTAACTCCCGACGGGCGCCGCACCGCCCCTGCCAGCGCCCCCGAACCTATGGAGGAGGAGGATTTGAAGTAATGTGGCTTTGGGGCGCCTTAACACCGTCAGTGGGCCCAGTTTCCTGGTGTCACCACCCTGGAGGAGGAGGAGGAGGAGGAGGAGGAGGAGGAGGAGGAGGCGCAGGAGGGGGAGTAGGAGTAGGAGGAGGAGCAGGAGAACAGGAGGAGGAGAGGGATAAGGAGAGAAGGAGAGAAGGATGGGGAGGATGAGGAAGAAATGAAAGGACAGGAGGAGGCGAGAAGGGGGACAGAAGGAGTGAATGGGGGGAGGAGGAGCGATCACCAAGCGACCCCCAGCAGCTGCATTCATGAGTCACTCCTCGTTGCCCGGCTCTCCCGACAAGGGCCCGGGGACATACAAATCAATAGTCACAAATCCTAGGATTCCCCATGTATGATCCCGGCCCCTGGTCTGGCGACCCCCCCCCCCAGATGGGATGATTCCCAGCAGGACTCGGCGGGCCCCCCACCCCCCCCCCCCAGGGGACGACGTCGCCGCCGTCATCGTCGTCGCCGTCGTCGTCGTCGCCGTCGTCGTCGTCGCCGCCGCCGTCGTCGCCGTCGTCGTCGTCGCCGTCGTCGTCGTCGCCGTCGTCGTCCCTCCCTCTCCCCCCTCCCTCCTCTCCCCTCGCCCCCACATGTCTCCCTTGCTCCACCCCCCCTCTCTTACGCCCTCTCTGGAACGAAGAGGCGGAAAGGGAGGCAGAGGCAGACGACGACGGCAGCGAAAATACCGACGACGACGTTTTGGTCACAAAACACGTTTTGAAAAATTGCGATGGCATCGTGCTTAAAAATTATCCTGGCGAAGGACCCAACCATATGCAGTTGTGAGTATCGCAATTGTGAGTATCTTCTTCGGTGGCGCTCCCTAGCCACGAACCGCATGAGGGGTGTGCCGAAATGTGGCGGGGTACACAACGCAAAGGAATACGATAGATCTGATTACGAGAGAAAGAACGCGGGTGAGTCAGAACGCGAGGGAATCTGAGTATGAATGGGTCTGCGCGCGAGTGAATATATTTGCATGAGTGCGATCATGGAACCGCCTAGTGTAAGTGTCGAGCATGCCTGTCCGAACACACGTGACACTGGGCGTGGCCGCCGCAGGCAGCTTCCGCGGGAACCCCGACGGCAGCGTCCGCACGTCGCGACGCCCATGTCGGCACGCCTCTTGCGAGGATCGCGCCCGCTTTCGGCTCTTCTTTTCCTTCCTCTTTGCCCGCGCACTCCAAAATCCAAGGCTGCGGGCGCAGCGCAGCGCGGAGTCCCCGCGACGCGCGCTGGTCGCCCCGGGCGGGGTCCCAGCGACGCGCGCGGGTCGTCCGCTGCGCGAAGCAGAGAGAGCTGACTAGCTAACTGGCTGGCTGATAGCGGGCAAGTCTCTGACCGCTGGGCAGAGCGACGACGGGCGAACGAGGCGCCGGGCCCCCCGCAGCACGGAGTTCCCGCGACGCGCGCTGGTCGCCCCGAGAGGGTCCCAGCGACGCGCGCGGGTCGTCCGCGGCGCGAGGCCAAACAATTAGTCGGGCAGTCGAGAGAAGGCGCGGCTCGGGGGAGACGCTCCTCAGGTCAGGCCTCGCGGATGAACTCGGTGAAGCCGAGCTCCCTGGCGAGGGCCGTCGCTTCCCTCCTGCACCGCTTCGTGCGCGCCGCAAACTGCTCCAGCTGCTTCCGCAAGCCCTGCGGCGGCCCTGCCAGGAAGAACTCGATGCGCGGCGCCCGCATGAGCAGGAGGTCCTCGTGGCGCGTGGCGCGCGAGAGCAGCACGTAGAGCTCCAGCCACCAGTCGTCGTCCTCCTTCTTGCCGTTCCCTACCTCGTGGCGGCCGCAATCCAGGATCACGCCTGGGCGACGTCGACCGAGGGAGCAGCGCGCCGGGCAGCCGACGGCCCAGGGCGAGAGTCCACAGGACCGAGAGATGGTCTGGCCGCGGACTGCTCGCGCCCCGGAGGTCTGGCCGCCCCCGGAGCGCCGTTCCCCCGCCCCGTCGCCTTCGCGCATGGTGCGCCCCTGGCACGCCACCGTGGTGATGACCCTGCCGTGCGAGAAATGCGGGGGGTGTGCCGAAATGGGTGGGGGTGACGCATGCGGGCGGCGGCACTGAGGCCTTCGGTGGAGCTCCCTATGGAGCCACGAAACGTGTGAGGGGTGTGCCGAAATGGGTGTGGGGGACGCATGCGGCCGCGGGCACTGGGGCCTTCGGTGGAGCTCCCTATGGAGCCACGAAACGTGTGAGGGGTGTGCCGAAATGGGTGTGGGGGACGCATGCGGCCGCGGGCACTGGGGCCTTCGGTGGAGCTCCCTATGGAGCCACGAAACGTGTGAGGGGTGTGCCGAAATGGGTGTGGGGGACGCATGCGGCCGCGGGCACTGGGGCCTTCGGTGGAGCTCCCTATGGAGCCACGAAACGTGTGAGGGGTGTGCCGAAATGGGTGTGGGGGACGCATGCGGCCGCGGGCACTGGGGCCTTCGGTGGAGCTCCCTATGGAGCCACGAAACGTGTGAGGGGTGTGCCGAAATGGGTGTGGGGGACGCATGCGGCCGCGGGCACTGGGGCCTTCGGTGGAGCTCCCTATGG